ACATGGCTGTGCAGTGGGTGGCTTTGAAGAGGGACCCTCGTACAGCAAGTTTGTGAGTCGGTGGCAAACGTGAAAAAGTCCTCATGCAAATTCATTACATCGAGCTCATCAGCCAAGGCGCAAGGTGTCAGCAAGTCGCAGACGGGAAGAGGCCGGTTGCACGGCATGGGCTGGAGATAAGAAACTGGAAGCCGTCTGCTGGTTTTACCCCCCTGAACTTCCCAGTGCCCCTGCTGCAGGGAACCCCCTTGTGTGGGTAGCCCCAGCCCAAACCAGGGAACGGCCTGAAGGAGCCAACCTCCCTTCAGCTTGCAGAGTTCTCCCAAGGACCGAACGCCTGAAGGTCCAGGTTAAAAACCTGTAGATGTTCTGAGAGCGCTGCCTAGTGCTCCGTTTTCCTGTCGCTTCTCAGAACAGGACCCTGTTTTCAGAGCTTTGAACTTTGCCAAACTTTAACTGTTCGGGCTGAAATTTTTCATTTTGGGTGTCTGCATCAGAGTGATTTTTTTTTTTAATTTGACTAAAAAAGTTGACCTGTTTCTGAGAACGAGACTAGGGTAGAATACATTGTTGTAGAAGAACGGCCAGACCGAGTCAGACCAAAGGGCCATGCAGCCCAGTGTCCTGTCTGCCCACAGTGGCCAATGGCAGGTGCCTCCGAGGGAGTGAACAGAACAGGGGATCATCATGTGATCCCTCTCTTGTTACCCATTCCCAGCCTCTGACAAACAGAGGCTAGGGACATGGCTGCTCCCCATCCTGGCTAATAACCATTGATGGACCCATGTCTCCATGAATTTATCTAGTTCTTTTTTTGTTTTGTTTTTTGAACCCTGTTAAAATCATGGTCTTCACAACATCACGAAGAAGAACTTCCCTTTGTTTATTTTAAACCTGCTCCTTTTTCATTTCATTTGATGACCCCTAATTTTTTTCCATGTTAAAAAAAATTCTAGCTCCCCAGAGGTTTGGAGCATGTGAAAACGCCAAGAGGTGGATTTGAACCTGAGATCTCTGAAGTTTAGTATAGGAGCCTCTACCCTCTGAGCTAAAAGCCAGCTGCCTCCCAGCCCAGGCTATAGAGATCTCTTGATTTTAGCTGTTGCTGTGATCTAGGTGCCACCACATGGAACAGTGAGCCACACTAGGGATGTGTCTAGACTACATGGCTCCGTCGACAGAGCCATGTAGATGAGTTTACTAGACATCGCAGAATCAAGCGGTGATTTAAATAATCGCCACTTCATTTACATCAAAATGCTGATCCAGCACAGCGGGCAGTCTAGACGCTCTGCGGTCGACAAGGGAAGCCTTTGTCAACCGCTCCGGTATGCCTCGTGAAACCAGGATCATTTTGATGTAAATGAAGTGACGATTATTTAAATCGCCGCTTCATTTTGCTATGTCTAGTAAACTCATCTACCTGGCTCCGTCGACGGAGCCATGTAGTCTAGACACACCCTAGGTGTGTGGGTTACACTGGGACTTGAAAACCGGCAGCATGGTGGTATTTTTGTCTGGGGTGTTTGCCGCCCCCATGAAATCTGCCCAAATGTGTCCAACCCTTTGAAGAGGGGGTCCCTATGGAAAAAAAACGGTGATCATGTATTTAAAGACTGCCATAATGCCTGTGCATAAGAAGCCTGAATTAAGGTTGCCTGGGCCACCTTAAATCTGATAGTTCCTAACTTTTGAGTGCTTAGTCTTGCAACTCACAGCTGCATGGAACGAGTAATGTTCCTTTGAATGCAGTTTTGTGTGAGTGAACTTTTCAGTAGCGCCAGAGACATCCAGAACTCTTCGGACATCGAAACAGAGAACTCCTGTCTCCAAAGTGCTCACAAGATACTGTGTAGCCAGCCTCGTGTTTTCTCTACATTCAAACCTTTATAGCTCCGACGTCTGAATGGTTTAAAGGCCCCAGTGATGAGTTTTGAAACACTGGTGCGTATTTTCCCTCCCTTAGCATTTTAAAGGGGAAGCCTGCAAATTAACCTGCATCTACATTTCATTAGCAGCCCCAGAGCAAAGGGGGAGAGAGCGAACTTTCCTTTCCCTCTGCGGTGTGAGATGCCGCAGATGCAGTGTGTGTATATAGCGTGGAAAGCAGCTCTGCAGTGAGGAAGCTTGAGACACAGACTTGAAATCCTGTACTGCCTTATTCGGCCAAGAGGAGACCATTTTTCATCATCCTTTCTTTTGCCCTTTAGTGCAGCTTGAATCAACTTCAGCGTTAATTAGTGGCTGCTTCCCAGAGGACGATGGGAGTGCAGAGAGGGCAGCTGTCTGCTCACCTTCAGCCTGCCTCAAGGAAAAATCAGCCCTTTGCTTTCTGGTGTGGGAAGGGAGAAGAGCTGATTTCTAATCAGCTGATAAGACCATGTGTTGTCTGGGCATGGGCAGCGCCTGCCTGGCCCCCCCTCCCCGGCGGCCGCAGGGCTGCAGGAGCTGCTGCTCTTCGCACTAAACTGTCCCAGGGAGATAAGGAAACACATGTTAAAGGGGTGGTGGAATTGGCTCCGAGCTCACCACGGGATGGGGCAGCCGCCGTGAATGGCCTGGTTATTGGAAGTCTCAGAGGGGCAGCCGTGATCGTCTGGTACTGTGAAAACGAGCAGTCCCATGGCCCCTTAGGGCTTGTCTCCGCTACGGAGACGATTAACGCTGCCGCAGTCGATCTTCCAGGGTTCCAATGAACAAGTCTAGAGAAGACCCACTCATTCGAACGGAGAGGGCGCCCGGCGGCACCAGTTCGCCTGCTCCTCACGACGAGTAAGGGGAGTCGACGGGAGCGTGTGCTGCTGTCAACCTCCCACTGCGTGAATGGGGCCAAAACGTGATTTAAGATACGTAATTAACGTAGCTGGAGTTGCGTCTCTTAAGGCAACTTTCCCCTTCAGCGTAGCCCAGGCCTTCGAGACTAACAAATACATTGTATGATGAACTGTGGGCAAAACCCGCTTCCTCGGATGAGCTGGGCTTGAGTGGCACCAAGCGGAGGTGAAAGTTCATGATACTATCTCTGTCTCTCTCTAGATCTAGATCTAGACGTGTTAGTCTCTCAGGTGCCACAGGCCTGCCGATTATTTGGGAGAGCCAGGGCGAGGGGAAGGGCAGGCCAGGGGGGATCCCAGCCACCCCTGCAGAGGACACCTCAGCATGGGATAACTTGGCCCCTTGGGGTTCTCTCAGCAGGGAGAGTCCCCAGAAGTGGCGCTGCAGTGGAATCATGTCACTAGAGTTGGAACGTGGGGACCAGAGCCTCTGGGCCACAGGGCCTCCTCTGCCAGGTGCCCCCTGGAAGGGGAGCAAACCCCGTCCTGCCAGGGGAGGATCTGGTGGGCATGTCCGTGTGAGCTTCCGGGCGCAGGCTGCCTCCAAGAGCGCCCCCTGCTGTGTCCGGGAGGGCCGCTGTGAGCGTTCTCGTTCTTATTCATCAGGAATTGGCTCATTTCGGAGGGAGAACAAAAGGCCGTTTCACCAGGGCCAGGTGCCCCCTGGAAGGGGAGCAAACCCCGTCCTGCCAGGGGAGGATCTGGTGGGCATGTCCGTGTGAGCTTCCGGGCGCAGGCTGCCTCCAAGAGCGCCCCCTGCTGTGTCCGGGAGGGCCGCTGTGAGCGTTCTCGTTCTTATTCATCAGGAATTGGCTCATTTCGGAGGGAGAACAAAAGGCCGTTTCACCAGGGCCAGGAGGTGCAAGCCCCTTCCCAGCCATGGAGCACTTCGAAATGGCTTCTCTTTTCAGTGTCCAAGGCCTAGCTCTAGATGTAATTCTTATGGGCAATACTGTGCACGTGAATGCTCCTGGAAGCTGCCCGAGTGCCAGTCCTGCCAAGCGGGCTCCTCCGACCGTCCCTGGAGCAGTAGCGACTCTGCCAAAGAATTCGGGCGAGCGTCGTTCTCCCATTGAAATTCTCCTGCGCTCGCGTCCCAGCCCTACGCTAGCACATGAGTCTCTGGGCAGAAACGTCGCCCAGACGCTGAAGGCGCAGCCCCTGCTACAGATTGGTCCCAGCAGGGGACTCACGTTTACAAGGGTGAGCGTTAGCGCTGGACTGCTGAGCTTCGGTGATCGGCTCCTCCCGCTGGCTGCAGGGCGGTCCCATGTAAGCGAGCCCCTAGGCGTTTCTCGCTAGAATAACCCTGAGGAAGGAGTAAAGGTGGGACAGTGACCGTCTCCTGACACACACAGCGACGTTCAGAGAGACATTGGTCCTTACAGCCCTTCATCTGTTCATGAGGGGTAGCAGCAGTGAGGTGAGCCTGAATTTGGACCACGAGTCAGAGGTTAGAACAGAATCCTAGAACTGGCAGGGGCCTTGAGAGGGCATCAAGTCCAGTCCCCTGCCCTCACAGCAGGACCACACACAGGCCAGACCATCCCTGCCACACGTACAAGAGGGCACCTAGATTTGAACTTAATCTGCCAATCAATGCTCTACCCTGAGCTATCCCCCCCTTCAAGCAGGCAGAGGGGGATTCAAACCCACAATAGAAAGTCTAGCTGCTGGACTACAAGATGTAGAGCGAGAAGCTGAGTGTTTCTGCCTGGTTATGAACTGGGGGCCTTTTGCATGTTAGGCAAATGTGATAGGCACTACGCTATAACCCTGTCACCTGAAGGGGGTTGTGCCCACAAAAGCATCTGCATATTTTGTTAGTCTCTAAGGTGCTACTAGACTTTTTGTTGTTTACTACACTACAGACTGGCACGAAGAGAAGCCAGGCGCCTCCCTGCTAGTAGACAGTAGCTACATCTAGACCCTGCCACCCACATCCCAGTCAGAGTGGAACTCACGAGCCCCGGTTTATATGACCCACGTGCTAACCCCTGAGATACAGAACCAGGCCTGACGGGGCACCCGCCCTGGTGTTCAGAAGGTCAGATGGCGAGCCTGGAGCTTGAACCTTGGTATTGTTAGCACCACAAGGCCGACCGGCTGAGCTAGCCAGCCCACCAGGTCAAAGCAGGCTCATTTCTGCCTGGCTTTGAACCAGGGACCTTTGGCATGTTAGACAAACATGACGACAAAAAGGGACTAGGACTTCAAGCCGGGATTTCTCACAGCCCAGGCAAGAACCGTGCCCTAGGCTAATTCACTCTCCATGCCCCTTTGCATTTTGGTCTCCTTGCTGGGACTAGGTTTCTTGTATTCTGGACATTTGTGCCCTGGGAACTGACAGAGACCCAGCCAATTAATTCACACAGGCCTCCACTCGCTCAGGCTCACCCCGCCGCGAGCCCTGCCACTGCCTTGTCGGCATGTGGGGGTTGACGGTTCCCATTGCTTTGCAGGGAACTGCTCCAGGCCCCGTTGTCAGCCCTCTCGGCTAGTTAGCCCCTCTTCACTTGGACTATGTCTGTACTGTAGCCTTCTTGCAGAAAAGCTCAGCGTGGAATATCGCCATGCTTCATTTGCATAATTATTTTGAGGAAGAAGGGCTCTTGTGCAAGAGGGGTTTTGCGCAAAAAGGAGCGGTCCACACGGCTCTTTTCTGGGCAAAAGTCTCTTGTGCAAAAATGGCTGCTCCTTAATTATGCAAATGAAGCGTGGCGATATTCCACATCGAGCTTCATTTGCATAAGCTTTTCCACAAGAAGGCTACAGTGTAGACGTAGCCTTGGAGAAGAAACTGGTTTCTGCTCCCAAGAACACCAGCTGCTTGGAGAAACCCACAATCCCCCTTTGACTTGTAACATGAAGCCATTTTGCTCTTTTAATTGCAGGGACTTCTAAAAGTGATTTTGTCCAAATGACGAAAGCCTGGTTATTTCATTCTATAACCTTTGTTTCTTCTACTAGCGGAGATTGGGGACTACGACCCTGGGAAACACCCAGAAGGCTACAGCTCCAAGTTCCAATTTTTCCCCAAACATTCAGAAAAGCTGGAAAGGAAAATCGCAGAGATTCACAAAACAGAACTCAGGTAACATTAGCTTTGAGCTTCAACATACTGTCCCATTTCAAAGGGGTCACCTGTGTGGATTAACCATAGACGTACTGGTATGATGTTGACGGAACTTTTCTGGGTAATGGGCTGAATAGCTTTACAGCGTTTGTACATGCACTGAAGCAGAAACCGAATAAAAGTTTCTGCTGGCAGTGTAATCGCATTTCGTCAGAGTGGGACAGAACAGAGGGGTTCTGAACATTCAGGCCATTTCTGAAGCAGGATTAGAGGCGTTACAACCAAACAAAAATACAAATATTCTGGTAACAGGAAATGGCATCTACTACCAACCCCCGACTTGCTGAAACAGGAGCAGAATAAAACTGCCTACAAATCACAGGAAGTGCTTTAAAATGTGTATAAGCAAAGACTCATGAAACCCGGAAACCTTTTTTATCCATCTTAGCCATTGATCATCCTTCATGTGAGGTTTCAAACTGAGGGCCTGCCCGTTTGTAGAATGAAAGAAAGAACCGACGGGGATCTCAGTGGAGTGTGTTGATTTCCAGGCACTCCTAATCGTACCTCCCGAGCCAAGGCCCGGCTCAGACAGAGTCTCTGATTGTTTTTAGTTTTTTTTCTTCTGAGTGTTGAGCTCAACCCCAGTGTAAGGGTTGATTAAAGATCCCCTGGCTTTTCCTTACCATGCAGGGACAGTAACCATATTTCAGCCTGGATAAATAAAGTCTGCCTTCCTTCATTCATTCCCCTGCAGTTTCAGCTCCGGGATTCACACCCTGTTTGGGGATGAGGGGCTGTGTAAAAGGAAGTTCTCCCCCTGTTGTGAGAGGCCCGTGAGACTAGCCGTGTTCTTGGTCTGCGGTGAAGGTGACCTGGGCAAACAGGCTTGCGTGGTCGCCAGCAAGCTAGGGATCGGGAACAGGCCCCTGCAAGGCTGAGATAGGAAAGCCGTTCTTGTGGCGCTGGGGGAAGGCCTTCGGAGCTGCCTGTGGGCCCCCGATCATTTACTGAGCCTGCTTTTGCCAGCTCTTGCCTTGCCTCCAGGGGAGTTCGGTACTTGGTTTTAAACTCCGATCCACGTGGAGACCTGACGTCATTGGATGTGACAACCAATAAAAGGGACTGGAAAGTGTTACCTGAAATGGGCTACTCTCTGGGTGGGACAGATGGCAGCACAAGGAGCAATGGGCTCGGGTTGCAGTGAGGGAGGGCTAGGTGGGATACTAGGAAAAATGATTTCTCTAGGGGTGGGGGAGGAATCTCCAGCCTGAGAGGTGTTTAAGTCCCAGTGTAACCACCATCAGGCAGATTTGAACCTGGGATTTCTGCAGCTTAGCAAAGGAGCCTCTACCCTCTGAGCTCTCAGCCCACCTTGTAAAGGTCTCTTGGTCTTATCTGTTGCTGTGACCTAGGTGCCACCGCATGGGACAGGGAACCACACTAGGGCTATGTCCACACTCGCGGCTTCTTGCGTGAGTAATATGCAAAGCGTGGAATATCGCCGAGCCTCATTTGCATACCTAATGAGCCACCGTTTTTTGCAGAAGAGGCTCTTGCGCAAGGAGGAGCGTCTGCACCGCCCCTTCTTGCGCAAGAAAACCCCCTTGCGCAAGGCCGTTCTTCCTGAGAAGTACTAGGTGTACCGGCCTTGCGCAGGAGGGTTTCTTGCGCAAGAAGGGGCGGTGCAGACGCTCCTCCTTGCGCAAGAGCCTCTTCTGCAAAAAACGGTGGCTCATTAGGTATGCAAATGAGGCTCGGCGATATTCCACGCTTTGCATATTACTCACGCAAGAAGCCGCGAGTGTGGACATAGCCCAGGTGTGTGAGTTACACCAGCTCAGCAAAGCCCGGGCTGGGCTGAGTGAGTTGGGGTTGGTCCTGCTTTGGGCAGGGGCTGGACTCGATGGCTCCCTGGGATTCCTGGGATCGGCATAGAATGCTCCTCACAGCCCGGGCTGAGTGTAATGAACTAGCCCTTCCCTTTGGCCGGCCTCCTTTATCCTGTTCCTCAGTGCTGGGAAGCTGGCCTAGAGAACAGGCGGCAGAGGCTTAAGAGCCAAGACCACGTACAGAATGCTGGTTTGCATGCAGCGTGCTGGCCGGAGGAAATCAAAAGAGCTGCCTGGCTTGATGGGAGCAGTGCCCGTAATGACTGTACTGCGCCAGATGGTCACACCTGTCCCTGCTTTTCTTTCCGCCAGCGGCCAGACACCAGCTACGTCAGAGTTAAATTTTTTACGAAAAGCCCAGACCCTGGAGACGTACGGGGTTGACCCGCACCCATGCAAGGTAAAGCTCATCTCTCCGCTCTTTTCTGCTCTCCGACTTGCAGCCTTGCAGGGGGGAGCAAAGGACAAGGTGCCAGGGCTACGTGGGGCGTTTCCCAGCGGAGCAAAGCAGCTTTGCCATCGTTGTGCCTGACGTGGCGGCATGGGCAGGGCTGTGCGAAGGGGACACGCAGGCCCTGATCACCGGAGCAGGCCTGGTCCATGCTCCCTTGGTTTGGATTAAAAGTAGCGGGCAGGGATTGGCTCTGGGGGCTGCTGAGAGCTGTAGCCACTTGAGGATTCAAAGAAACTGCAGCAGCATCTGCGAGTTCTGGACCTCTTGGCAATGGAGGTTGCTCATTTCTGAGCCGGTCAGACCGGCGAACAAACAGCTCTTGCAGATTGACGTGCGGTTCTTTCATTGCCTCAGCACAGCTGGGAAAGTTAAAAAAGCGGCTTCTAGCCATCGTACCATAAATGAACCGGCACAGGGAGCGCTTGCTTACCTTGTCATCGCCCTCTGCCCCTCCCTGCTCAGCTTTGTGTAGCCTTTGGGCTGTAACTGTGTCCCTGCTGCTGCCTGATTGTACTTCTGCTTCCGAAGGAGGTGGGTGGGCGGCTGGCCAGGCTGTTCTCCCGAGTTCAGAACTCAGAGGTTCTGCTGCGCAGGAAGGTACATTTCAATGAAGACAAATGTGGGGACGGGGTCCAGCCCCCCTTTGCGGCTACGAGTATTTTGGAGGAAATGACAAGATTGGTCGTATGTGGTAAGGCTGCTGCCTGATTGTACTTCTGCTTCCGAAGGAGGTGGGTGGGCGGCTGGCCAGGCTGTTCTCCCGAGTTCAGAACTCAGAGGTTCTGCTGCGCAGGAAGGTACATTTCAATGAAGACAAATGTGGGGACGGGGTCCAGCCCCCCTTTGCGGCTACGAGTATTTTGGAGGAAATGACAAGATTGGTCGTATGTGGTAAGATCGATACGCCGGGGGGGCCCCCCGCCCCCCCCCCCCCCCCCATGCTCATACTTTACTTTTCTTTGCAAAGTGGTTTGGATCGACCCTGGCAACATTGTCGTTTCATTTTGCAGTGATGTGTCCCCTAGAATTCCATCGCACGGCCCTGACTATGAGACCACGTAAAGCCGACAGGGACTATGTGCATGACGTCAGTGTCTTTACTCGGGGGCTGGAGGCTCGTTTTTATTGAATTGAAGTTATTGAAGTGAATTCAGACAGCCTACGTGGCTGCTGAATGTGTTAATAGTTGGGCGTGGTTAGCTGCCCCATTCACTGGGAAGCAGAGAGAAGAGCCAAGGCAGGGTTGGGACAAATGAATTACTTTGTCCGTTCCATTTTCTAGGCTTGCCAAGCAACTGTCACTTGGGTTGTACTAACCTTTTGCCCTGGTCTTTCCTGGCTCGGCATTGGCATGCTTCACAGCTGGACTTCAGCTCCATCAGCGATTTAGATATTGGCATAGAGAGTGCACTTATTAAGTTTGCAGGTGATCCCAAGCTGGGAGGGGTGGAAAGTGCTTTGGAGGACGGGTCGTCATTCAAACTGATCTGGACAAACTGGAGAAATGGTCTGAGGTAAACAGGATGAAGTTTAATAAGGACAAATGCAAAGTGCTCCACTCTGGAAGGAACGCTCAATTTCTCACACACAGAACGGGAAGCGACTGTCTAGGAAGGAATACGGCAGAGAGGGATCTAGGGGTTATAGTGGACCACAAGCTAAATCTGAATCAACCGTGGGGCACTGTTGCAAAAAAAGCAAACCTGATTCTGGGCGGCATTAACAGGAGTGTCGTGAGCAAGACACGAGAAGTCGTTCTTCTGCTCTACTCTGCGCTGATCAGGCCTCAGTTGGAGTATTGTGTCCAGTTCTGGACACTGCATTTCAAGAAAGATGTGGCGAAACTGGAGAAGGTCCAGAGAAGAGCAACACAAATGTTTAAAGGTCTAGAATCCATGAGCCATGAGCGAAAACTGAAAGAACTGGGCTTGTTTAGTTTAGAAAAGAGCAGACTGAGAGGGGACATGATAATGGTTTTCAAGCACCTAAAAGGGTTTTACAAGGAGGAAAGAGAAAAATCATTCTCCTTGGTCTCTGAGGACAGGACAAGCAGCAATGGGCTTAAACTGCAGCCAGGGACATGAGGAAAAACTTCTTAACTGTCAGGGTGGTGAAACACTGGAATAAATTGCCCAGGGAGGGTGTGCAATCTCCATCTCTGGAGATATTTCAGAGCAGGTTAGACAGACACCTGTCAAGGATGATCTTGAAACTCTAGATGGTGCTGGGTCCTGCCGGTAGGGCAGGGGGCTGGACTTGATGCCCTCTCGAGGGCCCTGCCAGTTCTACGATTCCATGTGGTCACAAGACACTTGTCAGTAATCCTGAGGACGGGGGTCCAGAATACCAAACAATGATTGAAAGAAAAAAAATCCCAAATACCCTTAAAAATATTAACAAGGAGAAGTGAGCGGAATCAGGCAACCCTGCATGTGAGCAGATTTTTCTTTTGAAACTGAGTCCGGACCCCAGCACAATCCCATTGGCCTGTTTCCGAACAGAAACTGGCCAATGAGAGCTGCCTGTCTCAATAACAGGCAGCCACGAAGCACAAGGGGCTCCAGAGCACATGGCTGCACTTGTGTGGTGTGGGGCAAGCAGTAGTGTTCCCTCTAAACTGCGGGGCAGCCCAGCTTCACAGGGGATTCATCAGCACTGCCCAGTCAGTCAGCTCCCTGCAGGGAGCTCTGAGCCTCGGACTGGGCAGGGCTAATGAATCACCTGTGAAGCCGGGCTGCTGGCAGCTTAGAGGGAACACTGGCTGGGAGGGGGGGGGGGCGGAA